TGACGCGCACGCGCGCTCCACCTACCCAGCCGCCCGCGACGGCCCCCATCTGGGCCCGGCTCAGGTTCCGACCAGCAGGGAAGCGCTCCGGTCCGCGCGTCAATCACCGGCCTCCGAAGCAGTCGAGGACCCGCCCTCTCCCAGCTGCTTACCTAACGGAGACGAACTAACCCGAGGACAGCCGAGCCCCGCCCTTCTGAAGTCACGTGCCACGGCCTCGCCAATAGAGGCGGACACAGAAGTCCCGGAGAGAGAGAGAGAAAAGGCCGAGCCACCTCTGTTGTACACATTGCCCCCCCCTTTTTTTCATTCTGTCTCAAGCTCCGCCCTCTTTGTTCTGGTTTCCACCCCAGGGGGCGGGAGGGAAGGCGGAGCTCCCCAGGCATGCCCTTCTACCCCAGGCGGCCGGAGAAAAGAAGCGGGGTTTGTTCCACGTCGGACTTGTTTAGGCGAAGGACAGCTGGGAGGGGGTGGTTTGAAAAAAACAAAAAAAGGGGGGGGAACTAAGGAAGGAGCCGCACATTCGCCCTCATGGGGTCCCGGTGGAGGCAGGCGCTCCACCTGGGGCGGAAGGCGCGCTCCGTATTCGTTGGGACCCCGGTTGGCTCCTTGGCGCCCCGACCGGCCAGGTTTCTTCAGGCCACGGCCGTGCCCTGCTCCTCGCTCCGAGGGGGGCCTGGCAGTGGCTCGAGTGAGGGAAGGAGAGGTGGGGGCGGCCGCGGTCGTAACTGGGGGGCTGGAGACGGGGGCGATGATGATGATGAAGAAGAAGAAGACGACCTAGACAAGGAAGAACTGGAGCTGGACCCAGAGGATGAGGAGCTGCTGAAGTCGGAGTTGCCCCCTCTGCCGTCGGGCCACCAGAAGGTGTTTGTGGTGCATCCCGCGGTGAAATGGGGGCCCGGCCGGCCGAGGCTCACCACAGGTGTGTGATTCTACGGAGGCGCCAGGCACGGCTTTGCCGAGAGGGCCAGTCAGTCCAAATGCTTGCCAGCGGTTCCCCAACGTGAGGCTTCCTCGGCACTCTTCCTTGCTCCGAGGTTCGCCCGCGTGTCGTGTGAAGGATGCTGTCAGTTCCCGCAGGAAATTCGCCCCCGGAAGAAGCGGCTGCGTGCAATAATAGGGGCGGCTTCGTGGTGACTTCTGCGTCGTGTTTGGCATCCATAGGACGTGCTAAATAAAAGGCGGCATGGTGACTTCTGCGTCGTGTTTGGCATCCACAGGACGTGCTAAAAGGCGGCAAAAGTTAACAGAGCCGCAGCTGCTGCTCGTGGAAATGACAGTGTCAGTAGGGAAACCTTTTAATAGGTCCTGATGAGAGACCTGGGCAATTCTAGGTTACAAGACTACCATGCACTCTACATCCTAGATATTATGTGTGACCCATTGGGAATTCTGGGGCTCCCAGTGTGCAGGGATCAATATTCAGGGGCATAAGGAGAACACAGAATCATTGGTTCTCATTCACAGGTATAGGTTAACCAAAATCCTAATGGACTTGTCCACCAAAGCTAACATTAAAGAATTAGTCTTTAAAGTGCCAACACGTTTTTGTCTTTTTAAACTCTTTTTGTTGTCGTTTTCACCTACAAAAATCCTAATGTACAGTATTAGTCATTACGATCCCCTCTTAGACACTCTCAACTGTGGGGAACAAGCCTTGTATACGTACTTGTCCACCAAAGCTAACATTAAAGAATTAGTCTTTAAAGTGCCAACACGTTTTTGTCTTTTTAAACTCTTTTTGTTATCCTTTTCACCTACAAAAATCCTAATGTACAGTATTAGTCATTATGGTCCCCTCTTAGACACTCTCAGCTGTGGGGAACAAGCCTTGTACAGTATACCTATTAATATTAAAGTTTAAAATACAGTCATGTTGTTAATGTTAAATTGCCACTTGATGGAAAAGAAAAGCCTAACTATTTTATGAAATGGCAGGCATCCAATGTTAAAGAAGACAACACAGATCTCATTATATATTGAGTTTTTATATTTAACATACCTGAGGTTGATTTCTTTCATATAAAACATGGCAGAGGGATAGCTTCAACAGAGCCCCAAAGTTGTGATAGGGAATAAGAAGGCTGGGGGGGGGGAAGAGCTGTCTTTGTGCATCTCTTCCCTTGGCTCTATTTTTAAAAATATCAGGAAAGCACTTAAAAGACTATTTGATCTATCTGCCTTTTCTAGGAATTTTATATGGACCTTTACTTTCAGTTTAAATGCTCAAGTATGATGAGCATTTCACTTTCAACTGTTCATATAGTTAAATGGAGGATCTGTTGATGAAATAATTTTGCCGAAGTGAATATGCCTGTGCTTTACCTCTGACTTGCAAATGCTATTCTTCATTATAATGATAATTATGTATAGTATAAGATAATGCTGGAAATGTGTATGTGATTATGACTGTTTTCCCCCCACTATAACAGCTGAATTGCAACTAGATGAAGCTGTTGCTCTCATAAACACCATTCAAGATTGGACTGTGGTGGATAAAATAATTCTCCCCACAAAAACTCCTGAGAAAAAAACTATCTTTAGTGACCAGAATTTTCAACTTCTTACTGGTAAGAACATCCAATATTTGATTCAGTACAATGGAATAAATCTGATTTTTAATCTCAGCTAGAGTAGAGCTACTGAATGCATGGGACTTTTAAAGGTGATATTTCTATAAGTCGCATACTACTAAGCTTATTTTTCTTTGTTTTATTGTTATTTTGTTCACTTTGTGCTAAATATTGTTATATCTGAAAGTGAAATGTATATTTAATCCATGCAATGTATATAGTGTATTATAAATGCTTTTAAATGTCTATATGCAATTCTGCAAATGTGAATGCAGCTGACGTTGTTGTTTATAGCTCACTTATTAGATGGCTATCTTGGCATTGCACATGATGGACATCTTTAGATGTAATTATCTTGGTTTGATAACCATAATTCTTAAAACCTAGCATGAGCATCATACCTCTGAACTTCCCCTGTGTGCTGGCTTTGGTGCACCTATTATGACTTGATTAAACTGCATTTTTTTTTCTTACATCCATACTGAAATACTAGGGCAGGCATACTTACCAGGATATAAGATTGGAGTTAGGTTCTGTGTGGTCATTTTTGTAAATTTTGGCCTATAATCCTTTTACCAATCAGACTTAGTCTTCCAGCAATCTTTTAGCCAAATTTTTCAGATAAATCAGAAATATAATCCTATGGCCAAAACAAACAAGGTTTTTTTAGCCCATTAATGGTGCTAAAACTGCCTCAACTGAGGATGTGAACAAATTCAAAAAATGATTATGTGAGCCATTGAAAACAGAGCCCACTGTTAGGCAACATCTTTATTGGCTCACTAAAGTTACAAGTGAAAGAAGCTTTGTAGACTGCAGGGCGGAGACTGCAATTTGTTACCTTTGTTACCTCTTTCTCACCTAGAATCTAAACTTTATTTTGCTTTTTTTGGCAATCTGGCTTCATGAATCAAGAGTTCAGTTTTTTAACTGTTTGCCTTAAACCATCTTTTATACCATTTTTGCTTCATGAAGAGTTCTGGAGAACTTGAAAGCTTAATTTGTGATTAGTAATTTTTTAATGATCCAATAAAGACATTGACCAACTCTGGACTTTCATTCGTAAGATGTTATTACTGGTCATTTGTAAGGTGCTGCAGAATGAATGATTGAATGCTATGTTGATCCTTGTACAGTAACCTTTCAGTGAGAGTGGAATAGTTTTCCGTTACATTATTTTGTAATGATATGGACTGATTTTTCCCCCAAACCTAAACTAATACTATTTTATTGCTTTTCTTTTAGAAAAGATTAAAGGAGTGGTAGATGCATCTTCCGTCTTCGTAAATGTAGAAAGGCTATCTCCTCTATCAAAAGTAAGGATTCCGTTAAGTCTCTTGTTGGAAGGTGTTCTTATATCAATGGTGAAACTGGGTCAAAAACTTTGCATAAATCAGTAAGACATTTGGAAGTCAGTGGACCTGATTTAACTCTGGATTTATTAACTTTCACCCAAGGGCCAAAATCCTCTGGCATAGCTATACAAATGGCATAACTTTTGGAGACGACAATTGTCTCAACTTAAGAACTCATGATAGACATTGTTTTACATGCTGCATCGTACAATTCAGTATGCAACAACAGCTGAAATCCTGTTGCACAGCTTTAAGTGCTCAACAGTGTAGATGTAAACAGTGGTGGCAAATTGCCACTGATTAAAGGCTTCCTTTGGCAATTTCAAACTGCATGTGACTTCTTCTCATTGTGTACAAGTTGCCTGCATCACCTTCAATCTGCAGCAATTGGCCTTTTAAGTAGTGGTGAATTGCTGCAGCTGATGATGTGCACCAGGATTTCAGCCAATGCTTATGTAGATTTCTTAAGATGAGGCAGTTTGTAATTTCACTTCTGTTACACTGTTCTTACTAAGCAAGAGATTTTTGGCCAGTGAATTTAAGGATGCAGTCCTCTGTACACTTGCTTCAGAGTAAGCTCTGTTGAACTCAGTAGGTAAAGAATTGCAGGGTATAGTAGAATTGGGCTGTGAAAGTAGTATGTTTGATAACTTTAGATCCACAGTTCTTTTTGCTTTCCAGGATTCACATTTTAAATAAATCTTAGTCCCTTCCCTTATTATTCACCTAACACATTTCTTCTGAATCAGAACTGAACTTCCAGCCATTTTTGGTTTTGGGTTTCGGTGTTTGGTTTTTGTTTGTTTGCTTGCTTGCTTTGTTTTGTTTTCATCTTTTGGTTGTTTGTCGCTGCCCATGATGGACCCTGGTGCTGAGAAATTGGCCCCCAGGCCCCAAAGTTTGCCCACTGCCCTCGGAAGCAAGAATTCTATTAAATATCCTTCTATAGATGCAACCTTATAAATTGCATAATTGTATAATTCTGTTAAAATTCTGTGTGCTGACTGTAGTAGTACTGAAATCTTCACTTTATTCCATCTTTTAAAAGAAAGAACTTGAAGAAGCCTGGGGACTGGAGGTTTTTGACAGATACTCAGTTGTCCTTCATATTTTCCGACGCAACGCTCGAACTAAAGAGGCAAAGCTTCAGATAGCATTGGCTGAAATTCCACTTCTAAGGTACTTTAAATGGTGGCTAGATGCATGTTAACTTTTTAACAGCATAGCAAGGCTATTTTCAAGTAATAAGTGGAGTGATTTTGCCTTTGTCACTTATGTAGTATGTTAACATATATTTATACTATAAAGAGTAGATTAAATTTGATTTTTTTTAGAAATAGACGATACCACTGACAAGAATGTAATATAAACAAACCCTTTTGTTGGTATGGGAAACTGAAGATTCTAATATAGTTTCTTAGTTGATACTGGGAGAACATAATGGCTTTGTTTTACAGTTCTGTCTATAGATTTTATGATTCTGGAATAGTCCCAAGAGCTCTGTTTCAGAATAGGTCCCAGTATGGATATATTTGAAAGCATCTGATTACTTTAAAGTTCCACATAAGTTCATTTAATTGCCTATTACTGTATTAAATTTGTTATCACATACAATTACATATATGACTCTGTTCTAGATAACATTAGCAATTATGAAGGCGCTAATCTTTTACTCACTTTCCATTGACATTGGTGGGACTTGCATCAGACAAAGACACATGTAGGCTTGTGCTTCTAAGTTCCACTAAAACCAGTGAGATTTATATTATCTGTGACTCCATTGGTTTCAAAAGGGCATGGGTGTTCAGTTTCATTTCTGTATTACATTGACAGTGGTGCCCCGCATAGCAACGTTAATCCTTTCCAGGATTAACGTCGCTATCCGGAAACATCGCTATACGGAACGTAAAACCCCATAGGAACGCATTAAACTCCATTTAATGCGTTCCTATGGGGGAAAGGGATGTGGTGGCGCTGCGGGCTAAACCGCAGAAGCCTGTGCTGCAGGGTCAGAAGACCGCTAGTCGTAAGATCGAATCCACGTGATGGAGTGAGCTCCTGTTGCTTGTCCCAGCTCCTGCCAACCTAACGGTTCGAAAGCATGCAAATGCAAGTAGATAAATAGGGACCACCTCGGTGGGAAGGTAACAGCATTCTGTGTCTAAGTCGCACTGGCCATGTGACCACGGAAGATTGTCTTCGGACAAATGCTGGCTTTATGGCTTGGAAACGGGGATGAGCACCGCCCCCTAGAGTCGAACACGACTGGACAAATATTGTCAAGGGGAACCTTTACCTTTATGGGGGGAAAACTCCCCAGTAAGCGAAGATTCCCCATCCGGCCGCCATTTTTGCCGCCTCGGTAAGCGAGGGCAGGTCGCGAAAACTCTGTGGGCGGCCATTTTCTGCACCCGGCAGCCATTTTGGAACCGCCGATCAGCTGTTTCCCTAACATTGCAACCCTTTTGCCACCTAAAACATCGTATTAGCGATCACAAAAAATGTGTCGCTATGCGGATTCGTTGTTAAACGGTGCGCTCGTTAAGCGAGGCACCACTGTATATCATATTTTCCTGCCAAAAATACTGTCAAAGTTTACATTACCATTAAATGATATATACTGTATTTACCTTCTCTATTTTTCCAGGACAGGTTTGAGAAGCAAGGTTGCTCAGTTGGATCAGCAAAGAGGTGGCTCAAGATACATTATGGGTTCAGGTAAAGTTGAAAATTATATTACAGTATTTTAAAGATTGGTGTTATTATGATCAACCAAGTTTATTTAGAAAAGATATCACAAAGTAAAGTTGATACTTAAGCATGTCTTCCTCCACCTAGAAAAGATAATCATAAACGTTCACATGGTACATGTTTTTCTGTTTCATGTATGGCTTAATATCTTAAAACAAATATTGTTTCAAATCACACATAGTTTGTGTAAGTATTTAATTTAGATGCTTATGTTCTCTTTTTCACAATAGAAGTTTTTTTACTGTGTCTAATTTTATAGATAAAGCAGGATCTTGCTGGCCAAAAGACACAGTAATACTCATATTTAATATGTGCTTAAATTTAACCTTAGTTTTAAATGCATTTTTTTCAGAAATAAGCAATTACCACATATTGGATAAAATCCTGTTGCTCAGCTCTGCCTACACAGTGAGGATGATGTCAGCAGCACATTGCTGCTGATTTAAAGACATCTTTTTTGGGATGCACATAGCTCACACATTGGGGGTGCGCATAGCACATACAAAGTTGCATGCACGTCAGCATTTTAAGAGGAAGTGTTTAATCACGGATTAAGTTCTCAAGTCAAGACCCCACTGTAAGCAATTACCACGTATTGGATAAAATCCTGTTGCTGAGCTCTGCCTATACAGTGAGGATGATGTCAGCAGCAGATTGCTGCTGATTTAAAGACATCTTTTTTGGGATGCACATAGCTCACACATTGGGGGTGCGCATAGCACATACAAAGTTGCATGCACGTCAGCATTTTAAGAGGAAGTGTTTAATCAGTGGCAATCCACTGATGACAATGATGTCATTTCCATTGCAGAGCCAGAACTGAAAGTAATTTGGCTAATGTTTGCCTTGCAGCAATTACTCTAGAGCAGGCAAGTTGGAGTCTTCCAGCTGTTATTGTACTCCTTAAGTCCCATCAGCAGTAGCCAATATAATCCATAGCACATTGCTGCTGATTTAAAGACATCTTTTTTGGGATGCACATAGCATCTACAAAGTTGCATGCACGCCAGCATTTTAAGAGGAAGTGTTTAATTAGTGGCAATCCACTGATGACAATGATGTCATTTCCATTGCAGAGCCAGAACTGAAAGTAATTTGGCTAATATTTGCCTTGCAGCAATTACCGTAGAGCACACAAGTTGTTATTGTACTCCTTAACTCCCATCAGCAGTAGCCAGTATAATCCATGGTGAGAGATGCTGAGAATCCCAGACCAAAATCTAGAAGCAACATTGTCCAACCCTGATCTAGGGCAGCAGTAGATGACGTGTGAAAAAAAGGTGCAGCCCATGGTTACAGGAGTCAAGAGTGAGCTGTCCCCTCCATGGAGGAGGGGTATGAGCCAGTATATACTCTCTTACCCACCCTATCTCAAATAAAAGTGCAGGAGAATAAGAATGGGAAAAAGAAAAATTCTGGGAACCAATAGTGGGAAAGAGATCTCCAAAGACCAAAATCTAGAAGCAACATTGTCCAACCCTGATCTAGGGCAGCAGTAGATGACGTGTGTGAGAAAAGGTGCAGCCCATGGTTACAGGAACCATTGGGGAACCAATGGTGGGAAAGAGATCTCTAATCATAGAGGGCTTGCTGATGACTGGCAGTGAAAAAGAAGTGGTATTAGATAAGGAGATAAAAAGAACTGGGTGAAGAATTGAATTGGGGGAAGGAGGTAGATCAGGAGACAGAGGAAAAGGTAGAGAACGAAAGGGAGGAAGATACATCCATGGGTTGGGAATTGATAGAACTGGAGGATCAATGGGATCACAAAATGGATAAAATGAAGTTACCCTTGACTGAGACAGAGAGAAGTGAGGAGCAAGCAACTTAGCAAGCCTTCCTATTGGAGAGAAAAAGAAAGGAAAAGGTGAGAAAATCAGGTGGTAGCAGTACATCTAGAGCAGTGGTTCTTAACCTTTGTTACTTGGATGTTTTTGAACTGCAATTCCCAGAAACCCCAGCCAGCACAGTTGATGGTGAAGGCTTCTGGGAGTTGCAGTCCAAAACTCCTGAGTAACCCAAGGTTAAGAACCAGTGATCTAGAGGAACCAGAACCCGAAAAGGTGAGAAAATCAGGTGGTAGCAGTGCATCTAGAGGAACCAGAACCGATAGAATGGACTGTCTGTGTGTACCCAAAGAAAGGAGGTCCCTGGAAGAGGGAGGTCACCCCAGAACCGCATCAATGAGCCAAGACTGGCTGAACCAAAACAGGCACGTCACCCGTGTTGCGAGACTATTTGCCCTACCTGCAGCAAATCCCTTTAAAATCTCACCAACCAGGAGAGTTTTGGGGTGAACCCTCATTGATACATTCTTTTGTAAACCCTGAGTTAAAAGATAGCCAGTTGTGGCCCATATTGATGGTTATGTTGAGCCCACTTAAGTTATTGATGACACTCCTATGTTGTTGTCCAATAAAAAGTTATTGCAGCAAAATCCTGTCCTGGACTCTGTGGGGGTCTGCCCTAAGGAACCACATGCTGTCAAGGAAGAACCCAATTACACTGTGACCATTCATATGTTATTCAGTGCAACTCGGGAGTTGTAGTCCAAGAACATCTGGAAGGCCACAGATTCCACTACAGGTTGCACCACTGTAAAAGGTTGTTCTATGTACTATGGCCAGAATAGTCATATGCAATGTCCTCATTAGTTTTATGTAACTTTTATTGTTTTATTTTTCATAAGCTTTCAAATTATTCATCTTCCAATGAATTTTTAAAAATTTTCTATGTAAAAATGAAAAAAAATTAGTAACAAGATCTATCGCAATTGGTGGATCAAAATTGCTCAGAACACTGTATCTTGTATTTACCAAAAACACTAAATCGCCAGTGAAACTGTTTCTAATGCTTAATTTCACTGTCTTAATAATTTCTCTCCATCAACTTCATTTTTTGGTGGTACAAGTATTTTAATTTTTTATATGAGAATGTGTAAGCACTTTCCTGGACCAAGTCCACTCAAGCAAAACACAAGTACAGAAGTACTTTACAGCATAAAAATACCAGTAGAATCATAATCATGCATGTACTGTTACTTCTAGGTGAAACTTTCATGGAGACACAGCTTCGACTCTTGAAAGAAAAGACCCATAAAATTCGAAAAGCTCTTGAGAAACTAAGGAAAAAAAGACAATTACTTAGGAATTGGCGGCAGAAACGTGAATTTCCTACTATTTCAGTAATGGGCTACACTAATTGCGGTAGGAGGCAATACTGAAATACTTATTTCACTAGTGTTTAAGTACTTACTTTAATTTAATTTCAGCATGGAAAGGCCCTTGTGTTGCAGAATTTTAACATACAGGAGGCACTTTTTATCATCCTGCCCAGAGCCATTATAAAAAATGCCATTTCCTAGCCGGGAAGCGCACATTACCTCCTCCTTGCCATTTTCTCTTTCTTCTGCTTGTAAAGATTTAAAGAGCAATGATAACAGCTGTCCTTATAATAGGTCTATATTTTTGACATTTTATTTCAACCCCATTTGAGTACTACTGGTGTAATTCATAAGACACAACTGCATAACCCCCATGCATCCAGGTACCTGCTGTAAACAGGATCCATCTGGATCATTGTGCTATTAGTAATATACTGTTATGATTTTAAACTATTCGCTTTATGATATGTTGTTACCCGCCCAGAGTAGTCAGTATGACTAGATGGACAGGCTATAAATGTAATAAAACAAATAAAATAAAATAAACATAGAAATAGTTAAAATAGCAACTATACCTACTTTGCAATAGACAAGAGTTGCTTTCACATGCAGATAAGACAAATGAATGTCATCATTACTGCTGCTTTGGCTTTCAGTGCCAGCACACACTTGCCACTTGGTGGACTGTGGCAGTGATTACATAGCAGGAGTTGCTGCTGCTTCTCTGGATAGTCTACAAGGTGCTTAGTTTGGAAAGAGGTACTAAGAGCAAGGAAGATTGCATATGAAGAGAAGATGATTGTTCTGCATGTACCCCTACCATGTTCCCCTGCCATGAATGGAAAGACACTCAAACTCACTTACCTCTGGTTGGATGGAACAGTAGAACTCCTGAGAAACAACCTGCAGCACTGAGGCAGTATGTGTACAAACATGTAGACTACAAAGTTACAAGGAGATGGCCATTTATATCTACCAAGCTGTGGTTGTATTTGTGTATATTACTCCACTGATACATCCTCTTCTAACAGCTAGTTTTACATGATCCAGATCATTGATTTTGCATTATTCCTACCTTGATTTCTCATAGGGAAAACCACTCTAATCAAGGCCCTTACTGGGGATGCAGGATTACAGCCTGAAGATAAACTCTTTGCCACACTGGACATTACAGTCCATGCTGGCTATCTGCCGTCATCCTTGACTGTTCTGTACGTTGACACTATTGGATTTCTCTCTCAGTTGCCCCATGACCTTGTTGAATCATTTTCAGCTACCTTAGACGATGTCGCCTGTTCGGTAGGTGTCACCATCCCACAAAGGGGTTCTTTCCATCTTTGGGAGAAGCTTCCCTTCAGATTGATGCAGATCGAGTGCCCCCTCAGTGTAACTGAACATGTTCTTCTAGATAATTGATAGGATTCTGTTTACTTAAGCTATTCTAGCTGTTCTCAACATTAGGTCCTTGCACTCAAATATTTTTGACTACAAGGAGCCCCAGCCAGCAGGGCCAGTGGTTCACAGATTCTGGCAACTGAAATCCCAAACGGTTGGAAGATCAAAGGCTGAGAACCATTGACCTGTAGGAAGATTAGTGGAGATTGCAATTTTGATTTTATTGTAATTTATAATTTCAAATACAGGGTTTTTACCTACTGTATAATATGTTAAACTAGCTTTGGGGCAGGGGGAAATCACACTAGTTACTTTATGAATGCATCAAAATATTATGAATAATTTTTACATTACTTCTATAAAAATATTGTTAGATACGTTGAGCTGTCTGCTCTTTTTGGACTCTTCTTAAAGACAGGCATATTTAAAAAAACCTCTGTCATTACCTCGCTAAAAATGGATTTCTCCATTCAAAATTTCTCCTGTTGTTCAAGAATATCAGTCTGTAATCTTGGTTTGAGAAAGCCAAGTTCCCTAGAGTTTAGTTAGCATAAAAACACTACATATTTGACTGCACAAAAGCAAATTTTGTTTCTGGCACGGTGTGACAAGAGAAGTGAGCTATGTAGCAATTCATCTAGATTATGGGTTTATAGAAGGTAAATCTGGAACAACTGGCAGATTTCTGGGTGATTTCCAATAGATTGGCAAGGATTTCTGACTCCCAGTTATTTAATAATAGAAGCAACAAAATGAGTTTTTCCTTTAAATGATACTTCTGAAATAAAAGTCTAAGATAGCAAGTAGATTTTTGTGTGAACATCAGATATGTTCAGTTTTGGAACTTGGCTCAAATCAAAGTCCTGAGTACAGAAGCCTTTAATTCTAACTGAATGTTTTGTGCACTAGTGGGTGACTTTCAGAGTCTTAGCCAAAAAAAAAGTAGACCTCATAAGCCTAATGTTGGGAATGTTATTTGCTTGTTCCAGGATTTAATTGTCCATGTCAGAGATATTAGCCATCCGGAAACTAACCTTCAGAAGGAGACTGTAGTATCAGTTCTCAGAAATCTGAATCTTCCCAGCCACCTACTGGAAACCATTATTGAAGTTCATAACAAAGTGGATTTAATAGATGGGTAAGAAAATATTCCAACTTTGAAACTGTGACTGCAGCTTTTCCTATCCCAGCCCATGAAAATTAAATTCAGGTACTGGAATGAAATCTGTGAGCACTGGATTTCAGTTATTTGGGCCAGAATCACTCTCCGCCTTGCCAGCACAATGTTTCCATTCTATCAGGCTGAATTGGAACATAAAGCATTGACTAGTATCTTGTTCAGGATTTACATGTGTGTAGAGCTCCCGCTATAGAGGCTGATGGGGCAATCTGATGGCCATTCAAGCACAACCAAGCATTTTCTCATATCACCGCAGCAGCTTCTGTAGTTGGAGCTCTGCAGGTACAAATCAAGGAATTATTTTCACTTCATGTAGGAAGATTTAAACAAGTAAAAGGTGGAATCAAATACACTGTAGGCCACGTTGTGTACTCAGTGTATTTATCTGTGGGCTACCCTGTGCCCTTCAACTGGTTTACAAAATAGCTTTCTGTTTGCATTCCTTGAAGAATGATTCACTTTTAAATGGGCTGAGACTTGTGCAGTGCCTTGACAGTTGTGCTATCAGAAGACAAATAAGACAATTGTGATGTAGTTGTTGAAAACTGTGTTGAGATAAAGCTGCCTACAACAATAGAAGGAGCTGGTAGAGGAAGGTAGGAGTTCTTCAGATTACTAGACTACTGTCGGATAACAGCATGAGCAAGAGATAATCAAATGATCATACAGCAGGTTTGATTTCATACATGAATTGCTTTGGTTTTTAGTACCAGAATGTTTTCCTAAAACAAAGCAGTAAAATGATACGATTTGCATTCATCAGAAAATTTTAAAATCTTTTTTTGTTTATACTGGCAGAAAAGCATAACATAATTGTACTATCAGGCAACAGTCTGTTTGAAATGCACCTCAGTTTTATATGGTTATGAAAGGCAGCCTACTGCCATACTTCTGTTCCTCAGCTATATGCTGATTTTTACACTAAGATCAGTCTTTCTGATCTCTTCTAGATACCGTCCCACTGAACCAAATGCTATAGTCATTTCAGCTCTCCTTGGACATGGATTAGAAGAGTTGAAAGAAGAAATTGATAGCAAAATTTTGAAAATTACTGGGAAAAACCTTCTGAGAATTAAAATTAATTTATATGGACCTCAGCTCAAGTAAGTAACTTTGATGACTGCATATAATGGTTGGGAGAGTAGCATTCAGACAAATTAGTATCAAAGAGTCATTAAACAGAGATGTTCCAGGCATTAAAAAAATCATTTTCTGTTCCAGGAAAAAGTTCCTCTTGTAAAACTCACATGTATGTGTAAAGTTGCACTTTGCCTCTGCTACTGCAGTTGCCCTGTAACTGCTAAATCTGACTGCATTTCTCTTTCCATATAGCCAGTTTTATCAGTGTATTGTTTGGCAAGTCATGTCCTCTGAAATTACTCTGCAAATAGCTCATACTCAAGCTACTGCAATGTGCAGGGCATGTCCCAAACTGGACTGCCTAGATTGTAGTTCTAGAATATGGCACCAAACTATTGTGAGGAGTCCATGATCATTATAATGGCAAAGATAGAAAGCCTAGCTATGCCCGTCTCCTCCTCCTGCACATTCACACAGTGAAATTACAAAAAATGCACATCTCAGGAAGCTCTAATTTCAGGAAGTCCTTTGAAGCAGAATTGTAGAACAAAGTCCTGTGATCAAACAAGGTGGTGGTTCTTTAATTTGAGCATGCCAGGGAGGTGGGGATGCAGGCACAAGGCTCATTCCTAGTTTTCCAAACTATGGTTGGGAGGATCTGGAATGTTATTTCTCTGTGCAGTCAGAAACCCTTTGAATGCTGCTCAGTTTCACAGCTCACCATTGCACAGAGAATGCTGGTTTGAATAAACAGGGACTTCCATGTGCATAAGATATTTCCTTATATGAATGCTGAAAATGTCAAATTCTTTGCTTAATGGACCACTACTTGAGTCATTTGCCTGGACAGTATCCTGGCTGTTGCACTGACTGTATTTTGCCATTTCAGTTGGCTCTACAAAGAAGCAACGGTACAAAATGTTGAGGTTGATCCCGAAGATGGTACAGCCAATGTAGAAGTGATCATAAGCAATGCTGCCTTGGGTAAATATAAAAAACTATTTCCTCAATCAAAATATGTCTCGCAAAATTAACACAATGTAATTTCATCACGGGAGCTAGCCCCAGCTGAAGGGGTACTGCACTATTTTTTATACAGGTGAAATAAAGTGTAAGATCCAGTAGGCTACAGAATTTCCTGTGTTTTGTTCAAATTGACCAGCCTCTACCACTTGCAATGAAATAATGACAACATCTGTAAAAAACCTTCATTGTGGAATGTTACAATACACTTTTGACACCTTTTGTGGGGAATCATATTCAGGAATACCCAGTACAATGTAGTGAATAGAGTGGTAGACTAGGAATTAGGAGGCTTGGATTCAAATCCTCATTCAGCCATGGAAGTTCATGGGGGCATAAAACTTGTAAAACCACTCCTTAGATATCTCACTCAACTTGATGGCACACAACAACACATACAAGAAATGATCAAAGATAGTTGTTCCGTATCATCTAGGATCTTAGATGTTAGCTTTCTCTATAGCACTGACCCAGTCTTGGCAGATCTTATGCAAGGCTAGTTTTTAATTTAATCAGTGCTCAGACATGTTTCTTTCTATTGAAGATAATCAAACACAATCTATGGCACAAATCCTATTGCTTAGTATAGTAAGAGGGTTTGTTTGCTTCCCCTCCCCTTCTAGTTTTTATATTGTTAGCAGTGTTAGGTCCTCTTGAGGAGAAAGGTCATGTATAAATGAGTCAACTTTATACGTTTTGTTGATTCAAATGGGCCTACTCTAGGTGACTTTAGTTTAGTAAGTTGCAACTAAGTACGCCCATTTGGATCAATGGAAATTGAAGATTTGGCACAAATCCCCAATGAATCAGTGGGCCTACTGTAATGGAACTTTCTACCCTAAGCAACAGGATTTCAGCACTTACCTTAAAGAGAACATTTATAGAACACAAATAATAACAGGACAAATACTAGTATATTGTGTACAGCACTAGAATTTGTAGGTATAGTGGTGCCCCGCATAACGAGCGCTTTGTTTAACGATGAATCCGCATAGCGATGTTTTTTGCGATTGCATTGCGATGTTTTAGATGGTAAAACATTGCTTTGTGATGATCGGTAAGCGTTTCACTTACCAATTTCCGCATAGCGATGTTTTAAGAACAGCTGATCGGCGGCTCCAAAATGGCCGCCGGGTAAATAAAATGGCCACCTGCAGTGTTTTTGCGCCCTTTCCTCGCTTACCGGGCAGCGAAAATGGCAGCCGCGTGGAGGATTTTCGCAGAACGTTGAGTTTTTTGCCCATAGGAATGCATTAAACGTGTTTTAATGCATTCCTATGGGCTTCTTTGTTCTGCATAGCAACGAATCCGTATAGCGACGATTTTTTCGGAACGGATTATCATCGCTATGCGGGGCACCACTGAATATTGGTCATGGTTACCATACCATAGTGTAGAAAAACAATTTAATGGTTGCTTTTTGAGCACAACTATAACAGCTTGTCTACCTAAATAATAATTCCTCCTGAAAATGCTATTTCTCAGTGTTGTACAGGATCATATTCAGGCCAAGAGGACTCCAGTTTAGAAAAATGACTTTGTTTTTAAGCTTGCAAAATTTGCCATAAAGCAATGAGTAAGGAAAAAATATTATTGTAGGTGCACTGAATCCTTCTGCTTTGCAGATAGGAATTAGATAAGTTGTTTCTGTTATCTAGATTCTGCTTACAATTTGTATACTTCCTTCAGGATACTTTTCTCTTGGGCAACCCTTTTTTGTCCCCCATGCCAATACAGTAGGACCCTCTTATCCGCAGAATCAGTATCTGCTGATTTACTTATCTATGGTCTGAAAATATTAAAAGAAAAATCCTAGGAATATATACTTCTATGAGGTGAAGATGGCTGCAGCCTTTTTACAGTGTGCATGAATATATATTTTCCTACAATTTTCATTTAGTTTCAGACTTTTTGTCTTGAAATTTTTAGTTCCTGCATTTGTTTTTATGCCCTTTTTATATTTCATCTTGCGTCTTAAAATTCACTTGCAACTAAATCATTAAATGTTACTTTTTGGGGGCATTTCATTTTCTTGGAATTTAATTTTGTTTTCAGGGGCCATTGGATTTAAGTGTCATAAATAGATAGATAGATAGATAGATAGATAGATAGATAGATAGATAGATAGATAGATAGATAGATAGATAGATAGATAGATAGATAGATAGATAAAAAGATATCATCACCGCGGGGAGGGGGGCGATGATAACTTCCTCAATGGCTCAAGGGGGCGATTCTTACCTAAAGAGCAGTTATAGAATCTGTAAATTGGTGTACACCAATTAATGATCACACAGGCTATATGAGCTTTAAAATAATAAATTTGGCATTCTATGCAAGCTGTAATAGCCCATAGATAAGGCCTATGATAGGGAGGTAGGAGATATCTAGTAAGATGTATATATGTACAGTATATAGATGCTTTTAGTGCTTTGCTGTTTTTAGTGACTTTAATGCTTTTATATTGTTTTTATGTCTCCTAATTTTAAAAAAAATGTATCTTTTGCTGGTCAATGACCGTAATAAGCATTTATTATTATTATCAAAAAGGTTAACCACTGCTATAAAGCGCTAGAGAAATGTATTTCCACAATGTCATTACCAGAATTGGCCACTAGATGGAGCCAGAGACCATGCTATGTATAGTGTTCACTATGATCGTGTTTCATCCACGGGGGTGGGGGGATGTCTTGGAACCTACTGTATTTTATTACAAATATTGCCACAGTTCTCCAGATCATTCATCCTGCTATAAGAATGTTTGTTAGGTTTGCTGGCTAAGGGGACTGCACTCTTTCATTTGCTTTCATCCCCCTCTGTTTCACATTTTTTCGTAACAGGCAGTATTCTTTTGTCAAAAAAGCAAAAGCAAAGCGTGCTGCTTATATACCGCCCCATAGTGCTTCAAGCACTCTCTGGGTGGTTTACAAGAGTTATGAAGGCTACACATTGCCCCCACTGCGAGCTGCGTACTCATTTTACCGACCTCGGAAGGATAGAAGGCTGAGTCAACCTTGAGCCGCTACCTGGGATTGAACCCCAGGTTGTGAGCACAGTTTTGGCTGCAGTACAGCGGTTTAACCACTGCGCCACAAGGCTCCTTAAAGATACCTTAATGGAGCAGAAATTTCTAAAGAGGGAGAAATAGAACAATTCAGTGCAAGATATTAGCAGTAATACAGTACTTAATTGTTTAATCATATATTAAATACAATCAAAACATGTAAAAAATTGGTTTGGAAATTATTTCAGACCCATTGTTCTCATATAGAGCAGTGAGTTTAAGTCAAGTACATTAAGGACTATGATGCTTTTCCTCACACACACTTCCATGGAATGTCTTTCACTTCTTCCCTAAAGCTACAAAGGATTATAATCACATTTATTTAATCTGATAGTTCAGAATATGGAAATGGAACAAACCTCCTATGGATCAACTGCCAACTTACAAGTCTGAAAATTCACCAACTCAATTTGGGAGACATGTTCACCCCTTCTACCATTTGTTTCCAACAGCAACTCATAAACAAGACAGGAGGAGGATGTCCCACCTCCAGTTTTTGGCCTCCCAACAACTGATAGCTGGAGATTATCTGACTATGCATGTTCCTTTTAGCTATCTAAGTTCATAGCAATTATTAAGTCTACTTTCCAATAATTTGTTTCATTTTCCTTAGAGTCAGGATGGGCAACAGTGGCTCTCCAGATGTTGAACTACAGTTCCCACAACACCACACCTCATGGACTATGTTGGCTATGGGTGATGAGAGTTGTAGAACTCCCACAAAACAAACGAGCAAACAAAAAACACCTGGAGGACCACAGATGCCCATTCCTGCTTTAAAGCTACCAAACGATCCCCAGTTCATTACAACCACTTCAATCTCTAAATTGAATTTATATATTATGTCTACATCATATTATACTTATTTACACTGAACTTTATTTGCTATGCTGGTAAATATTTTCTTCTGAGATTGCTATTTCATCCAGTTTGAATAAGTCCTTTTGCAGGATTTTACCATTGCTTTGGTTTTACACATCTTGAATAATTTTGTGTCATTTACATATTAAGAAAGAAGTTAGTTTACTTGTAACTTCTCCTGGGTATGTATTTAATATCGAGCCATCTTCTGGTCTTCCCTCTTTTCGCTGTTGAATCAACAATTCCATATTTGGCCTTAGGAATCTTTGGTGTTATGTTGCCTAAACATGGCAAATGCTTGAATTATAGTTGCTTATTAGCTCCAAAATTGTATGCATTTACGGTTCTGAGGTACCTGTTTTCATCTGGGCCAAACGCCTGGCACTAGTAGGTGTAATAAAGAAAAAATGGTGACTGTTTAAACCATTGAGCCCCATCTGCAGTTACGAACTAACTTTTTCTACATTAAGAATGAAACTGCTCTTATCTGTGGCTTCTCCTACCCAGTGATTATATAGGAACTGTAGTCCTTTTTTTAAAAAAGGCTTTTCCAGGATTCTCACTTGGTGGATAAGATCTGTGTATACACTCCCAAACAGATGGCAAGGTTTTCCAGTTTTGATCATGCCCGCCTTTGTGTTTATAGGGAGAAGAACGAGTATGTTTTCCTGTACTTCTAAAGATATGATCAATACCGAACAATATTTTGCATATACACAAAAGGAGACAATCACACACGTTAGTATGTATCAATCTGGTCTATTACAAGGCTCTGAGCTACAGAAATGTTACAGTATATGGATAAAGTCCTTTTGAGCAGCACAACTGGTGATTCCAAATGTTGCTATTACTGTATTAAAGGCATTCCAGGAATGTTTTTTTCACCGAGGTCTCCAAAGAACTACTTAGAGTCTTCCACTGTTTATCCTTGAAATAAGTTTTTAAACATATCCTTTATCAGTGAGGTATTCACAAAATTATCATGAGGTAGGTGGATTATTTATATCCCATGTCTCTCTTTTGAGAGAATTAGGACATCGTCACATGTTCTTTTCAACACAGAACAAGAATGGCTGTGCTATTTTAAAAGTTTTCTATTTAGATCTATCACATTCTTCACAAAGTCATTTTTTTCTATGAAATCTCCGGCAATTATGTTAATGCAGTCTTTCTTCGATCCTGGATGTTGTTTTTTTATCCACTTATTTAAGAATGGAAGAGCACTAAGAGTCATTTCCTTAACAGATCCACGAAGGTGAGTCAGAATATATCCTAGATCTCCAGTAAGATTGATTCCTGCAACAAATAATCCCACTGGAAAAAAAAATGAAAGTAAAACTTACTACTTGATAAAAATTTACTTTTCTCATTTGTAAGTAGTAAACAACAATCTTTCACTGCCACATAATCTTTGATAATATAAGAGCTCCCATTTTAACTGCCCGAAGGGAACCAAACTCTACTGAAAGTTAGTTTCTAATCTAAATCTAAATGAAACAAATACCTGGGCGTCCATTCTGTTTTCTTCGCTCCAAATACTGGATGAGCTTTTCTGCACTAGTTTTATCTCCCCACCAGTATGGAACTGCAGGCCACAACTCACAATGCTGTGTCACTTGGTTAACATCTTCATAGGACACAATAACTTGGTAGTCATGAGACCACAAGTTCTGTAGGGTTGGTACAACCTGGAAGATAGGATAATGTACATTGGCAACAGGTTATTACACAATATTTCTACTACAGTGGGGTCTCGACTTACGAACGACCCTACTTGCGAACAATTCAACTTACAAACCCGCCCTAAGGACTCGAAATACGAACTTCCCTCAAGTTATGTACGGGAAAAAAAGTGCCCCCTTCCTCCCCTTAGAGGCTTCTGGAGGGGAAAAAAGGGTCAGAAACTTAAAAATAAATAAAACCACTTACCAGGCCTTGGTAGCCCCCAAACAACAGGAAAAAGAGCAGGAAACAGCTAAAAGCCGACACCCAGAAGGGAGCCTGGCAGCCATTTTGTGATTTCCCCCCCTCCTGCACCCTCCTCTCCCCGCCTATCAGCTGATGGGCTGGCTCTGAAGAGGCTTGGGGAGGCGTGCTCAGCACCTAAAAAGCCTGCCTGTGTGTCTTTGTGCTGAAAAAAACAGCACAACATGCTTTAAAACATGATTTTGAATTGGCTTCGTTGAAAAAAAAAAGATTTCTGAAGTGCTTTGCAAACTGTTCCCTGCCTTCCTCCTCGTTTCCTGAACCTAAGGGAAAAAAAATTAAAAATATCCCCCTCTAGTGGCAGAAGGCGGAATAGCAGCTTCCCATTAGTTTCTATGGACGGAAAAAAGCAGAAAGAGATTAAATGGGCTTCAATGCATTCCTATGGGAAATGCAGATTCGACCTAAGAACCACCTTCCAATAAGTCGAGACCCCACTGTACACAAGTTGAGGAAAGATGTACGTCCAGTTTACAATAACTCTATGGAACCTCAGCTAGCACAAAGTATATCCTACACTCAGTTTTTCTAATTCCATTTTAAAACATATGGAGATGCCAAACCTGAAAATACTTGACATAATAAAAGCAAAGCTTGCAAAAAGTACTTCTTTTGACCACAACTCACTTACCTGACACTTACATTTATGTAAATGTACATAGAATTCCACTGTAAAGCAACAAGCATAGCTGCGAACCATACTGAAGGTAAGTATCCAGATCTTTTATATTTTACTATTGATTACTTTAGAATTACTAAATATAAAGCATGTTGTGGACATTTAACTAGCCAAACTGTTCTATATGCCAAAACATTTAATATCTTAACAGCATAACTTCAGTTCTGATTCAGCTCTTGAATCCATTTTCAGTACTAAAACTAGCTTCTGGAATAGCTAAAATATCTCTTAAAAACATTTGCCTACAAGCGCACCAAGATTCTTTTCCTTTTAGACGAGTCACTGTCTATAGAACATTCCGAACCAAGGCACAAAGGGCAGATGATACATCTCAGTTCTCAGCATTTCCACTTTTGGAAACAGCTTGAACTAATAGTGTAACATTCTTTTGGAATTCTGCTGTTCAGATTAATATGTGCAGAATATAATTCAGTTAGAACATAGCTCAAATATGTAACTGAGCAATCCTGTTTACTGCACAACAGCATTCCAAGTAGGCCGGTATGAATAAGTCTTTGACCACCTCAGAACCTCCAAGCCAAACATTCCAAGCGACTTACATTTCTAGGACACAGTCGGCCAGCAAATATTTTCTTTATTGAGGCCACCAGATGACAGTGATGGTCTTCTTCCAATCCATCAAAATTCCTGAAAGCAAGAATGACAACCTCCCAAGGGTGATTTCTCAGCCATCGTAATATATCCCACAGGACAGCCTGCAAAAATCAGCATGTAGTGGCTTTTTAAAAAATCAGAAAACTCTATACAGTAGGAAACAGAAACAGTAACATGTAATTGGCTGAATTGCATACTGCTAATGTAAGATTACTCATTATACAGGATGTTTCACATGGACTGGAACTTATTTGAATATTCTTTCCTGTTTGTCACATGGGAACTGAGCACCTGACCTACAACTGAGACATCTGAAAATAGAATGGGCATGCTTTTAAGTATGAAATATTGCCTAGCCTTCTGCTGTTAAACACTGGAACTCTTAACTTTACTATTGGTATTTTTTTGTTTTTGTCTGTTTAGTTCTATGCCACCTATCTGGCTACCAAGGCCACTCTGGGTGATTCACAACAGAAAATAAGACAATCGACATCAACAAACCAAAATAAAATAACGTCAAAATAAAGATGAATAAACATACACTGAACATTATAAATCACCACTTATAAATATTATGAACTGAGAAGTAACCCGCAGAAACAACAATTAATGAAAACGGTCAACATTGTGGAATCACCAGCTTAAGGACTGGTAGATGTTCTGTGTTCTGTTGATACATTATCAAAGGCCTGTCTAAATAACCAGTTTTTTTAATGGTCTCTTCAAAATAACTAGAGAAGAGTCCAGGAAGACATTTCATCTCTCAAATGCAGGTACTCAAATAGTACTAACCTGTGCCCATAATCTTACAGCAGAAGAATACCTAACCAGTACTTTGCACTGTTTCAACACACAGCTTCTCTGGTAAAATATGCTGAGTTACAAGGAGTAATAGAGCAAGGCAATATGGAGATACAGTAGTTACTTGAAAAGGAGGCTTTTCTTAAAGCATTTATTTACAAAAGCGTATTTTTATTTATTTAATTCTATACTGCCCCATTAGTGCAAAAGCATTATTCTGGGTAGTTTGACAAGTTAAAACATACTGTATCTGCTCAGCAGACAGGAGGTTAAAAACACTAACATAAAAAACAAATACAGTGGAAATAGCAACATGCATGAACGCCACAGCTATCAGTACTATTCCTAAATTCCCTAGGACAGGAGTTTTCAAAGTTCATTGCATTATGGCATTGCTGGGTTCTTTCAGCAATAAACTTACTCGGTAGGAGTACTAGCCATAATCACCTAATTCAAATGTAGTATTGGGTATACAGGAAAACCTAAAACCTGTCAAAAGGAAAAGGAACAAACTGGGTCTGTTGCTTTCCCACCACTCATTGCCATGTTACCCCCTTTGGCCCACTCCTACTTTCCCCTCCAATGCTATAAGGACAGATGAAAAAGATGTCATTTGTTTAAAGCCCACCTGACTTCACCATTTAGGTATATTTTGCAGATTTCTCTGTAAATCCCCCTTTTAAAAACTAAAATTAGAATTCCAGTTTCAAGAATTGGGTTTTAGTTTTTATTGTTTCAGGTTTTTAGGCTCAGAGAATGTTTATATTATTACAGTGGTGCCTCGCATAACGATTTTAATTGGTTCAAAAAAAAACACGTTATGTGAAACATCGTTATGTGAAACACCATTTTCCAAAGGAATGCATTGGAAACCGGTTAATCCGTTCCAATAGGCACGGATTGCCGTCCTTAAGCGAAAAAACCCATAGGAAACATCGTTAAACGATACAATGTTTCCTCCATTGGAATGTATTGAAGCTGACTCAATACATTTCAATGGCTTTGCGAAGTCAATTTTTGCAAATTTAAGTGTGTCATAAAAGGGTCAAAAATGGTTTTAAATGCTTGGATTAGCTTCTGCACCCTCTAAAACGGATGCAAAAGTTAATTTGGCTTTGATCTGACTTTTTGTTAATTTATGGTGAATTTTTCCCCCCAACTTTTGACAGCTGTCAAAATCTGACAGCTCCATTGTTTCCTATGGGGGAAGAAAAAATTCACAAAAATTTAACGAAGACTCAGCAACTGTTCTAAATGCTTGGGTTCGTTAGAGGACCCCCTAAGTCGTGTGCAAACCTGATTTGGCTTTGATCTGAACTTTCGTTAATTTATGGTGAATTGTTTTCTCCCCCATAGGAAAGCATGGAGCTGTCAGATTTTGACAGGTCCATTGGTTCCTATGGGCCAGAAAAAAAAATTCACCATAAATTAACGAAAAGTCAGATCAAAACCAAATCAGGTTTGCACATGACTTACGGGGTCCTCTAACGTATCCAAGCATTTAGAACCCTTCTAAGACACTTTTTAAATTGAAAAAAGAAACATTGTTAAGTGAAGCAGGGGACCTAAAATCGCATTCGTTATGTGAAGCATGGTCCCAAACTTCGCTAAGCGAAAATCGCCCATAGGAAACATCGTTATACGGTGCATATTATTTTCTAAAAAAACACATCGTTATGCGAATTTATCGCTAAACGAGGCACTCGTTAAGCGAGGCACCACTGTATATGCAACCACATTGAGGCATGTGCCTAGAGTTACAAAATGTGTTGAAATGTTTTGATTTTCATTTCGATTGATTTGGAGATTCTCAGTGGAAAAGATAAGCAAAATGCTAACTTGTGGTGCTGCTATTCACAAACATGTCAAAATGCATCTTGTTACGAATGAATGGCCATCGGGAAAATGAAAGAATTGGAACAATACCAAATTTTGAATCAGTGATGTTCACTCACAAACAACAAATACAGGTAGCGCAACTCAAAATCCATTTAAAGACAAAGGCACATGTTTAACTGCACATGCACAAATCATATTAATATATCAGTTTCAGGCATGCAAAACAAGCAATGCAGTAATACTCCAAAATTCTACGATAAGATTGTTGCACAGCTTAAGAGTGATTTATTATGTTGCCCAGTAATTAACATTTCCATAAATACTGCATTATTATAATTATGAACCTAAAGTTACTGCAAGTGAAAACAATATTCTTGGGGTTCAGAAAATGGACTTTCCGGGACTAAGCCCTATTGAATTCAATGGAACATACTTCTGAGTGGTTAAAATCATCTGATTTGACAAACCTTTTATTTTGATATATACTCACAGCAAGATGCAGGGCACCTCAAGCATCACAGTGTAGTCCCAAATCCTTCACATTGTGACCTTCCTATTCATTTCTTAAATGAAAAAAACCCACATGCCTCAGAATTCCTCTTCTGACCAGACCCATGAAAAGAAAAAGAAAAGGGGGGAGGGATAGCTCCTGCATACATGGGACGCTACATGAAATGCTGAGCACTCATTTCCTTTGGAAACAAAATGGACCAATGCCAGCATTACTACAGCATTGGACAAAGTAATGACCTGATCAAGCCAGTGGTACCTAAGTAGGGCTAGCCATTGTATCTTTTTAAAAAATAAATTTATTAAACAAACATCCAACCTAAACAACATAAACCTAATACCACAATAAAATAAAATTACATAATACACCAGTGCCACCATCACCCCTGTGGTTAGCATTAAAGATATTTTAAATTTCATTCAGTCCATTTTCTCTCCCAAACTTCATTGTTTCTCCCCTCGGTGTATACCCCTTCCCTCTCTGAAATACATATTCCAAGAATACATTCCATATTTTCTTAAAATCATTATTTTTAATAGGCCTCTTCTTATTTTCATATCACATCTCAGTTTATCATTAATTGCCATATCCCATAGTTCTCTA